AATAAATAACTAATGGAAAGTAGCGGCCCCTCCCTGGGAATGCTAACTGCTCGGGATGAAAGTTTATCCAAACACATGAGAAAAATGATTGGTGTTGGAGGAGAGGGAAGGGAGTGCTCCTTTACTGGAAAGGAAATTTGTTTATGACATTTTATTTGCTCCTTATTTTTTAATGCTCTCTTGGCCCCGTGTCTTGTAAACAGACCAGCTTTTCCATTCTCTTGTGGTGCCAGGAGAGCCAATGACAGAACAGGCTGAGCCAGTGCCAGAACCCAGGGCCACAGCAGTCTCACAGTTATGAGGGCCCACGCCCAGGCCGGGGGGTCTGCGAGGGGGACTCATTGGTCTGCAGGACTCGGAGATGGAGGTGATGGTGAAATGCGGGTGTGGAACGGGGAGAAGGATGTCTGGCTGTGGGCTCCCTCAAGGCTTGGAAGTCAGCTCTGTCTGTGCCCAGACACCAGAAAGGGCTTCAGGTTCCTGACGTGTATGTCCGAGAGCACTGATTTATTCTGCAGGGTCTCCTTAGGTGGTAGATGAAACGGATACATTTTGGAGAGAACCTTGATGTGATATCATCAGGAAAAAGCTTGATGATATCACAGTCAGATAAGAAAAAGGCATGTGTGTGGGGGGGATACCCAGGAAGGATTCACAGGGCTGAGGCCCTCGTCCATAGCTCAGATCTCTCCTCACTATCGGAAAAAATCACTACAGCCTTCAGGCTCCAGAGTGCATGGTGAAAACACAGATACCTAGCCGAGGTGGCCATCCGGATTCCTCCTGCCATCCAGGCACAGAGATCATCGGAGCCCAAGTGACAGCAGGTGGCCCTGTGGCTGCACATTCTCAGGTCACTCTGGGAACCTCTAACCCGAAATCCCCAACTCCAAAATGCTCCTCAATCCAAAACTTTCTCAGCACTGACATGACACCACACGTGGAAAATTCCACATGTGATCTAATCATATCTCAGTTGAAACACAGATGCATTAAAGGTATTGTATAAATTACCTTCAGGAAATGAATTTTATGCTTAGACTTGGGCCCCATCCTCAAGATATCTCATTTTTATATGGAAATATTCCAAAATCTGAGGGGAAAAAAAACCCAGGTTTGAAATACTTCTGGTCCCAAGTGTTTTGGATAAGACATACTCAACCTGGATAAAGCTGAGAGGTCATCTTGACCAAGTGCTATGTTTCCTGGTGCTGTTTTAAGGGCCACACTCATGACATACATAAGATGCAAACCTTGCAATGACCCCAGGAAGCAGGTTAAAGTAAACTGAGGCATGGAGAAGCTGTTACTCATGTGAGGCCTCACTGCCAGAGGTCATGGGAGTGGATCAGACCAGGGGAGTCCAGTGCAGGAACTTCACTTTGACCTCAACCTTCCATCCTGTCTCCTTTAAAGAGTCACTACACCTACACAGGAGGCCTACTGCTTCTGGTGTTCCCAGGAGAAATGCTATAAACCTACTCAGCATGTGACCCATGACGATGGGGCATTCTGGAGCCAACACTCAGGAGCCTCGTTCGCCACCATGATGAAGCAAATTACCTTCTTCCCCAAATCCAGTCACCAAGGAGGTTTGGTAAATGTGGCAAAACTGCTGTGGTCACCAACGTTCATGCTCCGCCCCTTTCCACAGAGCTGGATACCTCTCAGCTCTCCTGCATCCAGGTGGGATCTCCTGAACAATTCCCACTAACAGACTAAGCGGAACTGATGGGTGATCCCTCCAGCCGTGGGACTCTCTCCCAGCTTGCTTCACAGAAAGAGGAAGTGGTGGTACTCTGAGACAGCAGGCCAGGCCCCAGAATTTCTGCATGAAAAAGAAACCTTTGTCCCCACCACTGACAACTTCAAGTCAACTAGAGTGTAGAAGTGAAAAGCTCAGGGCAAAATGCGATTTGGGGTTTTTGTTACAGTAAGTTACTGTGCTTAATGTGGTGATGGCCTAACAGGGAGGAAAACTCAGATTATACCTAGGGACAGGGGCCTTGCAGGGCATGTTTTATGGAGAGTCATCTCACCTGCCTGAGCCTAGTTTCCTTACCTAGAACAAGGTCTCAACACTTCCTCACAAAGCCATCAAAAGGTTCAACTGAAAAGCTTCAAAGAGCTCTAGAAGCATAAATCCTCATGATACCACTGGACTTTATTACCTCTTGAACTGCCCGACTTTTCTTGGGTAAATGCTCTATCTTTTCTTTCCTGTCTGAGACCATTCCTGTGCTCACGGTCCACTGAGGACATCCTTTTTGTCCTGACTCTTGCTTTCCACTTAGATGAGGTAAGAAGAAGGGACTTCCAGTGCTTCTTTCCCCAACATGTGGCGAAGCTCTTCCCTTACAGCCTCCCCCACCGGCAGGAATCACACAACAGGGAGGCAAGACTCATCTTCCTGGGTGTGCTCTCTTGAGCAGCACCTCTGTTCCCTGTGCCTCCCCACTCCCATCAAGGTGATGTGCCCTTGGGTCAGGCACAGGCCCGAGGCAACAATCTGCCCAGTGATATCCAACTTCTCTGCCCGTGACCTGCTGGGAAAGTTCACATTTGGGTAAAACACGGGTGAAACAATCCATCCAGATCCTCCTGTAATTCTAAGCACAAGTTCATATGGCAAATGTGATTGACAGTTTTACATGTGCTGGTCTTGTCTAACCAGACTGTACATGAGACCCTGAGAGCAGCAGGGACTGCCTCAGATGTGGTTTCTTGTTTTTTTTTTTTGTTTTTTTTTTTTGCTCTTCTATATTTCTTCCTTTTAGACAAGATGAAACTCCAGAAGTTTTGATCTCAATGTTTGAATGTACTGTAGGTGTCTTTCTCACTTTAAACAGGAACTTACCTTGCAATTCACTGGCAAAACCAGACACATAATGTTTGCTGAGGGGAAACCAACCAAGAAAGCAACAAACATATTTTCTCTGCTGTTCAGACATCACTTTATTGATTAATAGCAGGCAAACAAAAAATAGGCGAATGTGGTAATACATAAGCAGCAGATTTACAAATAGGAAAAGCCAAGTCAACACCTTTTTACTTACCCCGTAGAAGCCACTGTGCCATGACTTTACCAGCTGTGAACTTGAGATTCTCAGTGACCCGGGTTCTGAGTCCTAACTATCCCCTGCAAGACTTAGTCAAGGCAGTTGATCCCCCTAGGTCTCTGTATGCTGGTGTCCTCTGATGATTATGTGAGGGAATACATGAAATGCCTATCAGAGGAACTGCCATGTGACCTGTGTATTGTTGGGAATTTCAGGGATAAATTTCAATGAATAACAAACAACCCAGTTCCTGTTCTTATGGGGTGTAGGTGGGGAGGGTACCCAAAATTTCAGTACAAGTGTAGTAAATGAGATACTAAGTACTACAGTCAAGGAAGGCAGGATTAGCATTTTGTAGTATCCATATGATGCCAGATGCTTTAAAAGGACATAGGAGATCCCGGTACTGGAGAAAAACAAAAACAAAAACAAAAACAAAAACAAAAAAAAAAAAAAGAAAGAAAAAGGATATAGGAGAGACAGGTCACAACTGGTTGAGAGGGCAGGAGAAATCCAGGAAGGCTTCCTGGAGAAGGCAGAATCTGTGACAAGCCTTGAAGGGTCCACAGGCTTTCCATAGCTTAGGTGCCCGACATCTATTCTCCCCAGAACAGGCTCCTCCATGAAGTATTGCCAAGAGTTAAATCATGCTGAGGGCAAGGTTCCCCAAAGGCCCATGTGAGGAAGGGTTGGCCCCAGCTCGGCACGCTGGAAAGTGGTGGAAACTTTCAGAGGTGGGGCTTCAGGTCATTGGGGGGAGGCCCCTAATGAGATTACATGGCCTCATCCTTTTACTTCCAGGCCATGAGGTGAGTGGTTCCGCTCTGCCCCACACTCCCACCAGGATGTGCTGCCCTACACCAGAGGCCAACAGCACTAGGTCTGCCAGGTTGCGGACTGGAACTTCTGAAGACACACTCACTCTTTACTTTTGTAACCTGGTTACCTTGGGAATCTGTTATAGCGACCGAAAGCTGACACCCTGAAGACTCATTCCTGGGGTAAGGGAGGAACTCTCTTAATTAAACAGTTCTAGAACAGCCCCAACTCCTGGCTGCATGAATAACAGGTGGAGAACTGGGATGTCCTAGGAAGACTGGTAAGACGCACCTTTAGGGCCAGTCACCAGAGATGGACCTGGAAAGGGCACTCAGGGGCTGGCACGGAGCTGTGTGCCCTGCTGTGCTGTGCCCACATGGGGGCTGGGCACCCAGAACTGCAGTGCTTTCTAGAATGGAGTAGTTTACTCTAGGGATCTTCCAGAGAAGGGGAAGAAGGATCCCACCTTGTTTTACAGCTGTGCATGCTTGGGACATGGGTAGACAGTCACTCACTCCATGGCAAGGCACAAGGCCTGGTTAGTCCCTTTCTTCAGGCAGCTCATCCATCTCTCTGCACATCCAGCTACAATCACCTGTCACAGGGAGGTAGGTACAGTCACCCAGGAAGGAGAGGTCACAGCTGAAAACCACTTGTGACCTGCTGGTTTCCGATGCTTGTAATTACACTTAGTCTAAGTTTAATGAGAGCCATGTCCTTTGCCTCCCAGCCTGGGACCTAGTGTTCAGTCTTGAACAGATGACAGAGGCTTCCCCGAAGAGGACAAGTGGTAAACTGGCTGGCATAGGCAGGTCTAGAACCAGCAGGAGCTCCACACACAAGCAACTTTCATGAGCGGGACAAAGCTTCTAATTCCTCCAAAATCCTGATGTGAGTTACCAGGAAATCTGGGAGGTGAGGGGAAGGGGCAGGTGAAGGAGGAAGGAGATGGAAAACAATTAAAAGAAAAAAAGACCTTCAACAGAACTCGATAACCCCGAGTACCCGGACCCGGTGATCGGCGCCTGACGGCATACAAAAGCCAAAAGGCAAGTCCCAGGATGGGTCAACTCAAGACTTAATATTTGCCTTTCACTAAGTAAACTAATAAATCCCCCACGGTTAGAGCCACGCAGAGCTCCCAGTTTTTATTTATTGGTCAAGACGGCAGGCAGGTTTTTTTTTCTTGCTTCTCAGTCACCCGGGGGTAAACAGTCCCCCGCTTCTCCCTCCTGTCATCAGCTGTGTGTCTATTTGCCTTCTCCCTCAACAAACTCGTGTTCAGAGCAACTGACGGCATGTGCAAATAGCTTTGAAGTATCCTTCAGTAATGGACTTCCCTAGATGGGCCTGCTTTTGACTTGTGCGGCCAAAGGCAGAGAGACACAAGCCACTACTGGACAGTCAGACACCAGTCGGGTCAGGTAAGGCTGGGACAGTGACCAAGGGAGAGCCTTAGAGGACCGTCAGTACCACCTTCTTTCCTTCCATCTCCCATTTCACAGATGAGAAAAACTGAGACCCAGAGAAAGTGCTCTGATGACTTACACATGACCTTAGAGCTAGCTGAAGCAAAAGAGGACTAGTTAATATCCACGGGCGCTCTTCAGGCCTCCCCCTTCCAGCCTGAAATAATGTAGGGGTCTTACCCAAGGTCAGGGGCCTTTCCAAAGTCACCCCCTATGTCCTTTAAATCTATGTCCCTTACCATCGCCTCTGGAGCACAGAGACTTGCTTTCCTATGACAGCTGCTTGTCTCTCTGGCAACACAGCTCATGTTTTCCCACACAGATTCCTGGGCCATCTGATGAGGACCAGAGTGCTCCTGTGTGTCGGGTTTCAATGCCACAGAAAGGCTCCTTCCTGTAAGCACTTGACCACACTCACATGGTGAGCCGGGGGTGTGGCGGAGGGAGCTACGGTGAAATTAAGCTATGTGCATAATGCACTGAAGGAGGATGTGTTCGGCCTGGGGAGGGTTAACGACGCTGTGCCATGGGCAATGTCTATGCTCCTCTTCTAGGCATGAACCCAGGACCTGAGCACTGACTGAGCTGCATCCCCAGCCTCTTGGGTTTTTATATTTCTGAGACAAAATTTCACAAAGTGGCTAAACTACCCAGCTCGAACTTAAAAACCTCCTGCCTCAGTCTCCCAGAGTGCTGGGTTTCCAGGAGTATGCCACCACACCCAGCTTTACATGCTTTTCTAATACAGAACGAATAGTAAAGCTTTACGACATGAACTCTAAGAAAGCTGATGGCGTATGGTCCAATATAACAGCATCATGGAAGTCAGAGGGGCTCTGGGTCCTGGGCCTGACCTCATCATTTTACATGAAAGGGGCTCAGAGGAGGGACCTTCTGGGATAAAAACGGAAGTCTTCAGCTTCCCTGGCCTGTACTTTTTACCTGCTCCAGATCCCCACCTGGAACTAGAAGTAAGAGACAGACAGATGCAGGGATGGGGCAAAATGCAGTTCGTTCGAATCTCATGAAACCGACATTGTGCCACTTCACAGACACACACTGCTCTTTAAATTCCTTGCACTTCCCCACCAGGTTCAGTGTCATTCAGTCTTCAATGTCATCTCCAACTCTGCGTAACAGCTGCCTCCCCAGCCGGAGGATCCCACACCAGATGTTTGAAAGGGATTCCTGCTTTAGGCAGAATCCATCCAGAGGAGAGTTCTGCTAAGGACCACTTCAGCCTCTGGGATTCTGGGATTCTACGGAGATGAGAAGAGAGGAGGGGGAGATTGTTGCCGTGGACCCAATAGCATGATTCTTCTGGAAGCAAAGAACGAAGGCAGGACACAGACGAAGGGAACAGGTGAAATGCGTTCATCTTTTTAAAGAGAAAAATGGTGCCCAAGGAGCTGGGCTAGCATTCCTCCTAGGGCAGTGAAGGGAGGGAGAGCCGGCTCAGAACCACACACTGGGATGCATGGGGAATCTCACAAGTAACAAGAACAGTCTCTGCATGCTTCACGCTCCTCTCTACCCTAGCATGTAATTACCTCGTGGTGGCCACGCCACGCAACATGAGTGGGATTAGCGGAAGGCCCGTGTTCCGTGGACACTCATGCCTGTCTTTCAGCAGAAAGATGGAGGCTGAATCCCCGACAAGCAGCGACAACTTCAGGATGCTGTGCAATCCTGAAAACCTGGCTTTCCTAATCTGCAGAAGAACCTGTAATTTGCCTGCTGATTGTTCTTGTCACGAACACCAACCACCACGCTGGCGTAGCTCTATGCTCCCCGCAAGTTCCACTCCCTGATCCCAGCGATCTGGAAAGGTAAGAATGATCCGGGAGTCCCACTCCACACTCTCTGAATTGAACTCAAAGGTTATCTAGGAGACTTTGGAAGGAAAGTACACACTTAGCCCCAATTTACACGCCCTTGATATTTTAAATAATTCTAGAGTTCAAAGGAATTTCAGGAAGTCCTCGAGCCAACTCCTTCGCTTCCCAGACAGCACCATTGCCAAGATTTCAGCTCTTTGTCTCTGTCTAGCAAAGTTGTAGAATTTTGTTCTTGACTCACTCTACACGGCACATGCATATGTGAAAATGTGTGTGCGTGCATACGTACATACATGAACACACACACATCATGGTCTATTTATTTTCCACTCTTCCCAGCGGCTGTGTTTGTTGTTATTTCTTAATAAACTGTCGTGCTTTTAATGCTAAGGGCTAATATCACTGTTTTAAGTAGGATGTGTTAGAGAGCAATTCCAATACCCTGAATTCCTGCCATGCCTACTGTCTATCCACACTGCCCTCAGAAGGACAAGGTCTCAGCCATTTCATCATATCCAGGTTTTGGTTCAGTAACATGCAACCCCACCATCCCGGAAGCAACTGATTTGGTCAGGATTGGTGCCTGGTCCAATGGCATCCCCCTATAGGCTGTGCAGTGGCTACTGAAGCAATCAGACACACAGCTCCTGAAGCCAACGGGCCAAACCAACCGGGTGCACTCATCGGTTATAGGAGTGAAACAGAAGTCCTTGAGTGACCTGGTAGGACGGCCAATTATTCCAGTTTGCCCAGGACTGTCCCAGGTTTAGCCCTGAAAGTCCCTTGTCTGAAGGAACCCTAATTCTGGGCATACTGGGACAGTCAATTCCCCAGCCCTAGCTCAGCATAACAGCAGAATTCTAGAGTCAGGAGCAGTGAATCCTGCCATGGAGTGACCATGATGCCATTATTCTTGCTATCCCTGTATCCCTGGAAACTGCCTACAGCTACTGGCTATGCTAGATGACAATGAGCTTTGGGACAGCTGCGGGCTCTGTTTCCTGCCTCTGTTTCCTTTCTTTCACTGTGACTGTGGGCTAGAGAAGCATTTGCAAAGGTTCCTTAAAACCTAAAGGAACCAAAACACAAGTCTGGCACCATTATCTGTGTCCAAAAAGGGAAAGGAACACCTATAAACAATCTGTATGCTTCAATAGCACCAAACATCTTCAGGAGGGCACTTTGTGGTGAAACTAAGATGCTAAAAATGTACCCATCCTCTCATGGAAGACAATGAAGTCAAGAAATGGCCACAGACACATCGTCCACAGTGCAGGGACACTTCTGCTCTTTCTACAAAAGCAAGCTGTCCTCGCCTTGGCATGTAAGAAAGCACAAACGTTTCTGACTGTGTGTTGGACAAGGTTGGAGCATGACAGATACTTCGGAAGTGTTTCCAACCACACTTGAGTGTGGGTCACAGAGTAAAGGGGACGGAGAAGCCTTGAGCAGTAGCCAGGTGTGTGGGTGACTTCTTACTACCTACTGGGGAGAAAGGTCCTCAGCAACACAGCCATACCTGGTAGCCAGCTAGTCTGTTACTAAGCACCATGATGCAGATCCAGTAAGTCCCCAGTGTCACTGAAGGGAGAAGGTCTTTACAGCTGAGTGTATGTGTGTCGAAGAAGACTGCTGGGATAAGCAACAGAACTCACTGCCCTTCCAGACGCACATCCGTGTGTGGTACGTAGTGAGCAAACCGAGCACAAAGAAGACCAGTACTCAGCAGCCTGCTTTCCTGCCCAGAGCTCCTTTTGTGGCCCCGAGAGCCAGAAGCACATTCACACTGACTCCTGCATCACTCCAGAATCTACAGGGCCAGAGCCCAATACTCTTCCCCGGCCACTTGCAACACTCCAATGCCGGCCTCTTTAGAAGGAGCAGGAAAACCAAGATCCTGTCTGCCCCAAGTGTGGTTAACTATTCACTCAGTATCCGGCTGGATGATAATGGAGCAAACAGGTGGGATGGCTCTGTGCAAAGGCACGCAGGTGTGCAGGTGGGGGCAGGGGCGGAGGGTGCCGGGAAGCTGGGCTGCAGGGGCTGGGCGGGGAAGAGGTCGCAGGAGGCAGCCGCAGAGGATGCCTGCCACCAGCAAGAAGGCCCTGCTCTGGGAGGAGGAGCCTTCGTGGGGCACAGGGCCCCCTTTGCCTCATATCTTCTGCTAGCTCAGGTTCACACACACACACACACACACAGAGTCCTTCGGAGGAGGGGCTTTGCTTTCTACCCAAATGTCTCCACAAGTCCAGAAGTTTCTATGTTCTCCAAACTAAGAATCCTTGATCCAATCCAGGGCTCTCGCCTCTTGAGATGGGGGCTGCCCTGAGCCAGGCACTTCAGGGGCTGCTGCTGGCAGTGCGGTGGTTCCTGATGTTTTCCGGTGGCCAAGGGGCAGCTGCCACACCCTCCTTCCCACGCCTGTGGACCAGAACACAGCACATGAGTTAGATGTGGCTTTGCATGGAGCATCCGCTTCCCACTTTAGTCCACAATGTTCTACCTAAGGCTATAAATGAACCAAATATTCAAAATGCAGTGTTTTAGTTAAAAAAAAAAAAAAAAAAGAAGAAGAGAGACCCATTTATACCTCCCCCAAGGAACACTCTGTACAGTGAATCATCCCTGGGACTCCCCTACACAAATTCCACCGCTACACACAGAGCTGACTTTAGCTGCTGCCCCTGAATTCAGCCAGTGGAAAATTCTGCGTTTCAGGGCGTTGCCACTATACCTGTGAGACATGAGGCTGGAAGCAGGAAGGTGTCAGGTTACGCACTTTACAGGCAGAGAAACTGAGGCACAGAGTGTACCGATGTCACTCTAACTCAGGTTCTGCACCCTGACCTTCACTGTGGCTGGAACTTGTGTGTGCTGTCTAAACTCCCTCAGCAACTGACCCGGAGTAGACAGTGGTCCCTCAGAGAAAAGAGGAAAATGGCACACACGCTTCTCTTTCCCTAATGCTGAAAGCAAAGGAATTAACATTGTCTTGGATGCGCTGTACTCTCTTCCCTGCCTACCCTCTTCGCCTCCAGTCCGGAGTAACAAATATATTCGGCACCACCCAATGCCCTTGGGTGATGATCCGGACCTGATGGAGGAGGCTGCTGTGTGGGCCTCTGCCTCCAGCTGTCACTGTCACCTCACAGGAGTAATCTGCACAAGTAGAAATTTGTGAACTCCCAAGTTAGATGCTGTGGATACAGAAACAAACCAAATAGGCAAGCCCTGCGCCTACAGGCCTTGGTGGAGGCCACAGAGAGGAGAGGTTTGCTTGGGCCCCTCTAGGGTGCCTAGGGCCAAGGCAGTGATTTCTGGAGGGAACCTCTACTGGGACCCTGTGGAAACCCACAGGCCCTGGCTCAGCCCCAGGCATACGTGTTCTCCTCCCCAAGTGCTGGTAGGGTAGGAATGGAGTAGCCATAGAGAAGTGAGCTAACTGCAGACAGGAGAGATGTTATAGCAAGGCCACAGGCGACCAAGCGGGGAAAGATGCTTACAGATGTTTCTCTACAGGAAAACTGGGAGACACAGTTTGGAGATACAGGCTGCATTTTAGTCACCTACAAATAAAAACACCAAAACCATAGCCAACACGCAGGTCCAGAGGCGCTCTGAGGCCCTCTGCTCAATGGCCATAAAGGAAACTGAAGTTCGCCCCAGGTGTTGCCCGGGCCCTCTGGACTCGCCCTTTCTTTTGGACCTGAAAATGCCCCAAACAAATCCCAAAGTTCTCCAACTTTCCTCTGGTTTCTCTTCCCCTCCTGGGCAGTCACTTTCTGAGCTGTTTTGGAGAAGCTTTTCCCCTGGGAGCGGCAAGCAGCTAGCAAATTAATTGGCAGCAGCAGGGACTTCCTTCTTGTTGCCTGGCAACTCCATGCACTTGGCAGTGGGACATTAAACAGAGGAGAATGTTGTGAGGCATTTGCAAAATAAATAAAAAGCAAAACACACAACCCCCAGACTCTCATCCCAGGGCAGCAGACAGCCAAGAGGAATGGGGGGATGCAAGGATAAACACCGGCAGGAAAATCAGGTGCGGATCTCAGCCGATCCCGCCAGCCACCTGCCTGCGAAGCCCTCCTTGTGTGGAGTCCGTACGTGGCTAAAGGCACGTCCCGTCAGTGTAGCGCAAAGCCACAGTGGCCCAGGAACTAGAAGGCACTAATAGATCAGGATGACAGCGAAGGGTTACAAAGCTTCCTATGAAACAATCTGCCGTGTCTCAATCCCTTTACACTTGAGCATGCTCTCACCTGTTGCTACAGCCAATGGGAACTGATTTGCCGAGGCTGCAACACCTCGCCCCAACTTTCAGCCCAGCTCTGGGCTTTGTTAGTTCCTCCACAGAAGTGGAACACGCACACAGCCCACGTTGTAGCAGTCTGTTTCTCAGAAATGGGGACACGGAGAAGACGAGAAGCAGAGAGAGGCTCTTGCGGCTGATGCACCGGAAGACATTCACAGCCGGGTCCCTGCAACCTGTGACTATTACGTTATAGAGCAAAAGGGACTGAGTGCACCATTGTGACTGAGCTAAGGATCCTGGGATAGCCATGTGATTCCGGGTCATCCTGCTGGGCCCTCTGTGACAGCCTGCAAGACAGGCAGAAAGATCTGACACACAGAGGTAGCAGATGCAATTATGGAAGCAGGAAGTCGGCAGGGTTCAAAGGGGGGCGGGATTCCAGGCAAGGCAAGCGGATGCCCCCCAAAGCCAAGGCAGTGGCTCCCCCTGGAGCTTCCAGAAGAGCCATCCCTGCAGAGCCCTTGACTTCAGCCTGCTGAAACTGGTCTCAGGGAATATGAGGACTGTGCTCCCCATGTACTTCCGAAGAGGATATCAAAGTCGGGATGCTGGCACCAGCGGAATAGAGCTGAGCAGAAAAGGTTGGGATGCAGAATCCTGCTTAGCAAGACCTACCCAAAATCCTAGATGCTCAGTAGGAAAAGGACAGGTCTCTAAGAGCAACTGAGGCAAGCAGCAGCCTAAACACTGCAGCAGGCTATTAAAATTATGCCGCTTGTCACTACAGCGTGGGCAGGTGGCTTAATCTCTGAAAGCCCTGGTTTCGTCATTGCAAGATAGAGATAATATTATCATCTACTGTGCAAAGCTTGCAGGATTAAATGAGATAATATGTGAAAAGCACCTGGAGCATGGTGGATGCCAAGAAAGTGATAACTCTTAGGAAGATTAGGCACACAGATAAGGACAGGCACTGTTTGTTGCTCTCCCCAATATCTATCCTACCCTTTCCACTCTGTAACAGAACTCTGAGTTTTGGCTGGCATGGTGCAGTTCAGAGTAAAACTACTGCATTTCTCAGCCTCCCGGGCAGGTAGACATGGCCATGTAATTAAGATTTAGACAGTGAGTTGTAAGCAGAACTACTGGAGTAATTCTGAGAAGGCTGCTCTAAAGTGCTGGAAGGAGCCTGAGTTCTATCTGTCTTTCCCATTTCTATTTTTGATGAGGACATGACAGGCTGGTGCTCCAGCAGCCACCCTGGACATATGAGGTGGAAGCCATGTAGTAAGACAGTCTAGCAAGCAGATGGAGTCCTGAATCCCTGGTCAGTCCGGTGCCGCCACTCTAGTCTGGGACGGCCTTCCTCTGGATTTTGGTCATCTAAGAGAGAGGGCTCTTCTGTCATCAGTAAGTCCTTGTTCTTTTACAGCTTTCTAGAAATCATAAAGAATCCATTACAGATTCAGGCAAGCAGGACACAGTCTCATTCCGGAGCAATGGCTCTCAAGGTCCAGCCCCAGAACAGCAGGGTACAGGAGAACTCCAGGTGCACCCAAGCCTGAGGACTGCTGTTCCAGGACAAGAGCTCTCTCAGTCAGGCACAGCGGGGGCTGAGCAGCTCTTCACGGTGAGGGCTTGTCCCGAGCATGTAGGATGCTCAGCAACATCCCTGGTGTACTCACTAGCACCCTCCACCCCACCAGTGACAAATTCAGAGGCCTCAGACATCGCCATGTATCTGGCATCAGGGGAGAGGGCTGCAAACGGATGCCGGCTGAGGAACTCTGCCCCAGAGTCACAGTTCTTTCTTGACCTTGGCCATACATCAGAACCATCTGGGAAGCTTTTCAAGATTCCAATGCCCAGGCCTCACCGCAGCCCAGTTAATCAGCATCCGTGAGGGCGGGGCCAAGGCAGCACCTGAAACTCCCCAGGTGAGTCCCTGCAGCGGCCAAGAGAAGGCCAGCGGGCCCGGAGGAGAAACTGTGCCAAGCTGCATGGAGGTTTCAGGTTTTGATGGTGAGGACGGCCCAAAGTGCTCCCAAGCAGAAACTGCACCCAGAGTGCCTGGGGTAGACTGGGAGCCCACAGCCCAGCAGCCAGCTGGGTGGAATTCCTGGCAGCTGTGTCACCTCATTTCCCATAAGAACAGGGTGGACACCTTTCTGTCTCTCACCTGAATAACCACACAAAGCCTCAGTTTCCTCCCCTAATAAACAGAACACACAATGAGCCACAAACATGACCTCACCCCACAAAAAGAACCCACTTAGGAAAGATGGCAACAGGGCCGCAGAGGCCACTGCCAGGTGAGGAGCACAGTCTCTCCAGGGGGCTACGCCTGCAGGCATGGGACCAGACAAGCAGAGTTATCATGGGTATTTAATGGAGCCCGGAAAATATTCTTGGCCACAGGTCTACAACTGAGCTGGAAGGGAGAACAGGAAGAGTTAATGAGAAACCAGCAACCGAGAGGGAGGGCCGGTTGAATGAACTGATGTTCTGACCCCTTAAAGAAAAATGAAGTCCCGTGTAAGGTCTTCTCCCTGCAGGGACTTTTACGTTCATTATTTCATCCCAGCCCTCCTGGCTAAAATGCTGAGCTATGCTTTTGCTTGTTTCCCTTGGCCCAAATCATTAAGTCCAGGAAGTCTAGAGGAGGAGGTAAGGGGAGCAGAGGAGAGGAGAGGAAGAGAAGGAAGAGGAGATGAGAAGAGGGGAGAAAGGAAGGCGCGAAGGAAGAAAAAGAGGAGGAAGAGGAAGAGAAGGACGAAGAGGAGGAGGAACGAGAGGAGGAGGAACGAGAGGAGGAGGACAATCAAGAGGAAGAACAGGAGGAGGCAGGCACGTGCCAGCTAACAGGTTCTAGGGATCTTAAGTTGAGCAAATCACTGCAAGACCACCGAGAAATGCCTTTCTTCCCCTACCTCATTCAATCCCATCCATACAGTCTAGATGGAAAGACAAGGGAACAGACCAGAGTTTATAAAACATACTGAGAAAGCCAACTCCCAGCCTGTCTCTCAGAGGCGAAGGTACAGCGGCACAATGGCACACGCCTACATGTCCCAGCCTTCTCCAGGGTTTCTGCTTCCCACGCTATCATTCCACTTCATGCAAGGGACTGGAACAAGAAAGGAGAACCCAGCTGCTCCATTCTAGTTCA